CCTTGACTATTTCCCGTGTTATCCGACCCGGGCTTCAGCGCGACGAGGAGGTGGACTTGACCACCTACCTTACGGAAGACCAAGGACCCGTAAAGGGGGACCAAGTTCTGAGACGCGACCGACAGGTCGAGCCGATAGCCGAGTGGCGAGCGTGCCGGGGCTTGGTCCCATGGCCACGGCCGGACGAGGGATCGACTCCTGGTCGGGGCGAACTTTTGTCCCCTGCTCCGCCGGCCGTGTGTTTACAGGTGTGAGCCACAGCGAAGATTAGCTTTAGCCATGCAACATTGGCTCAGTTCGTAGAAAGAAAAAGTTCGCCCCGACCGGGAGTCGATCCCTCGCCTGGCAGTGTCCAGGTAACCAAGCCCCGGCACGCTCCCCACTCGGCTATCGGCTCGACCTGTCGGTCGCGTCTCAGAACTTGGTGCCGCTTTACGGGTCCTTGGTTTTCCGTAAGGTAGGTGGTCAAGTCCACCTCCTCGTCGCGCTGAAGCCCGGGTCGGATAACACGGAAAATGGTCAAGAAACGTCCTGATTCAAGATTCAAGGCGCGCGGAGGGCCGTTCATTCAACATTTGCCGTGTTATCCGACCCGGGCTGCAGCGCGTCGAGGAGGTGGACTTGACCGCCTTCCCACGGGAGAACAAACCCCGTGAAGCAGGTCGGAGTTCTGAACTCTGCGACGAGACGAGGAGCCGACAGCCGAGTGGCGAGCGTGCCGGGGCTTGGTCCCATGGCCACGGCCGGACGAGGGATCGACTCCTGGTCGGGGCGAACTTTTGTCCCCTGCTCCGCCGGCCGTGTGTTTACAGGTGTGAGCCACAGCGAAGATTAGCTTTAGCCATGCAACATTGGCTCAGTTCGTAGAAAGAAAAAGTTCGCCCCGACCGGGAGTCGATCCCTCGCCTGGCAGTGTCCAGGTAACCAAGCCCCGGCACGCTCCCCACTCGGCTATCGGCTCCCCCTGTCGGTCGCGTCTCAGAACTTGGTGCCGCTTTACGGGTCCTTGGTTTTCCGTAAGGTAGGTGGTCAAGTCTACCTCCTCGTCGCGCTGAAGCCCGGGTCGGATAACACGGGAAATAGTCAAGGAACGGCCGAATTTGAGATTCAAGGCGCGCCGGGCGCGCATTTCTTGACCATTTTCCGTGTTATCCGACCCGGGCATCAGCGCGATGAGGAGGTGGACTTGACCGCCTACTTTACGAAAGAACAAGGACCTGTAGAGCGGGAGCAAGTTCTGCAACGCGGACGACAGGTAGAGCTGTTAGCCGAGTGGCGGGCGTGCTGAGACTTGGTTTCCTGGACACTGCCGGGCAAGGGATCGACACCCGGTCGGGGCGAACTTTTTCTCATTTTTTGTGGCACCTCCTGAGTAGGTGGTCGGTTAGGTCCACTACGCCATCTAGCTGGAGGCGTGGTCAATTAATTCGGATGCTGGATAAACGGTGAATATAGTTCTGAGTATTTGAACCAGCGACCATCAGACTACGGAGTGAGCGCTCTACGAACTGAACCAATGAGGCTGTTGTTGTGTGTGTTCTGACGTTCTTTACTATGGGAAATAAAGCTGCATATGGCCGAGCCGTTTTCAGCTACAACCGTGTAGCTACAAACAGGGACCTGAGTGCTCCGCTCTCTCTTCTGATTTCAGCCCGGACAGTCTCGGGGCCGAGACGGACGGCGAGGCCGATGTCGACGAGGCCGTGGCCGGCCCGTTGGAGCCTGCCTACCCTCCGATACAGCCGGTGACCATAGTCCACGGGCCCATACCAGAAGGGGGCTACCGCCAGACTGAAACCTACACGGAGCTGGTGCTCCCGCCGGGCTACGTGGAAGCCCACCCCAGTCATAAACATGTTCACTGAAGTGTAGACTGTCGCCAGACTATTCTCTTCTCTTCTCGTGCACCATGGTGCAACAAAGCACAGAGAGAAATCAATGTTTCTCGTTCTTTCCCATTTTCCTTCCTCTTTCATTCCATACGAGGTAACAAGAACGAGTATTGTTTGTAGAATTGCTTGAATTACAACAAAAAGAAAAACTCTTCTCACGTCATTAAATATCACTGGTAATCTGACATAATGACGAATGTCTATACAGTTAGTTTTCCTCCTCCTCACCTCTCACCCTCTTCCCGCAGGGGGAAACTAGATATCCGTCATCAGATTACCAGTGATTTAGAAGCTGCAAGAACGACGTGTATTTACAGTAGAAGTTTTCTTTTTTATGAGGAGAAAAATTCTACCAGGCTTTCTTTTTTGGAGATGGGAGTGAGCGATGGGTTGCCTACCACTCAGGCGGACCGTTCCACCACCACTTATCTATATTGGCTCGCTGACAGTATTTTTCTTTAATTATTATTTTTCACAAAAACCCACAGGGCTGTCCGAGTAGTAGGGAACCCATAGGTCAACGTTCTCACATGGTTTAAAGAGGTAAGTATGGTGGCAAAGATACATGTCGCTCACTATTGTTTGTATTTTTAACACCAAAGATGATTTATTTGTTATCAACAATGGAAACCTTTGGACAATATATGGCAGATTTTGCTCTGCTTAAGATGTTTAAGTGGCACTTTGACAAAATTCGTTTTAACAGTACTGGTATATTATTTTCAATTTATTTTTATCATGAATACTGATGGTTGCAAATAATGAATTGGCACAAAATGAATCACAAGACGTTGTTTAAGAGAGATATGTTAAGGGGTTACAATTTTTCTTCAGGTTACTTTAACCTAATTATTAACTACTAGTAGAATATAATTTTCTCAGTGTGATGGATGACAATGTATAATAAAATACAATGTACAATCTAATAATAAAGCTCAATGAGCTTTCTCTCTTTTAGATACCATCTGGTCAATTTTGGTTTTGGATAGGCTGTTTTTTTTCTTTTTCTTTCCCAAAGTAAAGCTTACAAAAAATCTAATAAAGCAAGTCCAAATGTTTGGCACTAGAGATACCAAGAATGTGTGAAATTTAAGAGTCTATGCAATTTGCTCAAATGATCTGAATGACTTTTTGTTTTGTTTTGTAAAGTTAAGAATGTTAAAAAGAGATGTGCTCAAATTTGTTGTGCTACAAAAAATAAATAATATGCTAATGCCTAAGGTCTAATGGTCAAAGTTCAGTTATCACATTGACATAACATAAACTAAATCACTCACTCTACAAAAATTTGTTCAAATCTTCTAAAACTATCTAGGAAAAATAAGTACAAGAACAGTTAAAGTTTCAAAATGTTCAAGTCAAGCACACAGTATAGGTCCCTCTGTACTTTTAACTAGGTACAAAGTTCAAGCAACACATATGCACCCAGACATCAGCTATAAAGAAATTGTTAATTGTTTCTTCTGGAACTCTATATTCGGAAAATATGGGTAAAAAATTGAAGATGAAAGATGTGTTTCTTTTACTATTTGGTATAGTACGATTTGATGCATTGTAATGGAAACGTTTTAAAGTTCTGAACACCAAACATACTGACTTTAACTTAACTCTTGAACTGTGAATGTTCTGACACAACTTGATCAAAGCCTTTATAAGTTTACATCACATACAACATGAGCTAGTTATACCTATAAATACTTAACAAGATAGAATATTAATAAAATAAGTAACAATTCATAAACCTATACTTTTAAGATGATAATTTTCTAAAAACATTGTCAGTATTGTAAATTTGAACATAAATTAATAAGTACACTAACACTAATCTAGGTACTTGTTTTCAACATCTCTACTTTTTTATCATTTTTTTAATTTTTAAAGGGAAATAATGCAAGATCGTCTGCATTTTCTGTGATTGAGTCTGATTGAATCCACTAACTCCAATTATTCAGTACCTATCTTACCTCATACATTAACAGAAAAAAAAAATGGGAAAAAAAATCTTGTTGAACTATGTACGATTTTTCACATTAAGCTTGATCATTTTGGCACTTGGTTCTGGTTCTCAAAGTTTTACGTCTCCCCTGAACCATATGTTCCCGGAGGTGGTCTATACTGTTTCGGATATGAGCTAAGCCCCAACTGACTAAATGCATACTTCCGAACTCCAATGTTTTTGTACGTGTTTTCTCTCCGGCATCCTTCACTGTAGATGTGTAAAAAAAAAAGTTAAAAGTGGGCTATACAATGTAGACATGCTATTTTACAGTGTACAAAACGTTTAGAAAAGAAGTGTAGATAAATGTAACTTACCTCCGCATACAATCAAGAGCTCTCTGCACTTCTGTTTCTGCCAAGTCATAGCCATGAATCAATGTATTAACTTGTTCCAATGTCACAGACATACCAGTTCGATCTTTAGCACTTTTGCAGCTTGTAAATCGCAAACCTGAAGATAACATAGAACCAAAGATGCATAGTTGGTATAGGTAAAATACAAAATAAAATAATCTATATCATTGTATAATGTAGTGACATGTTATACAAACCTTGCATCGCTACTGTTATTCGAGATACCAATTGAAGTACCTCAACATTTTTGCTGACTTTACTGTGGACAGACCCATGAAGTTTATCAAACAACATTATCAGAGCACGTTGACTGAGTCCAACTGGAGACCAGAAAGAATGTATGAGTAAAAGGTAGATAATTAGATTTTTGATGTCACTTCTAATGCATTGTATACTTCTTACCCCCTCTCCTAGAAGTTTGTGGTTGGTGATCTGATAGTTGTTTTAACTTCCTGTAGCGTAAAAAGTATGCATGAAGGCGACTGAAGTTATCAAGATTTGACTGGTGTTGAGGTGCTGTCTGCCCTAGACTTTCAGATAATGTTGCTCGTTCATTAATACCAATGTTGAAGAATACAGGAGTGACTTTAAAAGATAGTGGTCCTCTACATGATTGCTGTTGAGTAGACCTAGAGGCACTTAGATGTGGTAACTGAGACAGCACAACATCAGGCACCGGTAACAAAACAGTTAGGGCTGCCCTCGATCCCATAACTCGCGGCAAAGGAGCTGATGTCGGCCCCACTCTGCAAAAAAAATTACAGTTTGAGCATCAAGGAAATTTGACATCAGGACAATAGGAATTCATACAGCAATATTTTACTGAGATTCAGATACCTGTCACTTGAATGAGGACCTCTATGTTTTAGAGAATTTGATGAAGTTGATGATGAATGAACAAGAGTGAATGTCACAGTACTAAGGTCTTCAACTGCAACTACCATGTCTCCCCACATATCTAACTCATGGCCATGTAATGACAACAATCCTTCAAACGCAGCTATAGGGCCTAATGTTGACAACACAAGTAGGAAAGAAGGGTCAGGTCGCTGACACCATAATTTTGCCAATAAAGCTGTTACTAAAGCAGTGAGCTGAGAGTAAAAACAAACAGATGTATTAACTGTATGACAATATAAAATGTAAACGACCCAAGCTTAATAAAAGTAAAATCTACTCACTGCCTGAGAAAAACACACATCTCTCCTGTATCGGACATTACATTCCCTCTGAGCAGCCCTGGGATCCTGTCGAGTCCGGAAAGCTGAATGCATCAGCCTTGCTGTCTTCAGTAACCCATCCATTGCTGCTCTTAATTTTCTCATCGAGGGTCGTAACTCTGACACCCAGTCAGACATTGTACCAAGGTCCAACCCTTCAGTAAACTTATTTCGAACCTTTGGTCCATTAGAGGCTTCTTCATTAGGTTGCTCACTGCACAAAATAGGGCAGTGTACAAAACACAGGATAGTTATTGTCACTGACGAATATATATAAGAAAGACACAGCAAAAAGCAGGAAGATACATACAGATTAGGATTTTCTGACAATTGTTTGGAGATAGTAGATGGTTTCCCACCTGATGAGAAAATTAACCATGTTCACATTACCACTTCCAGCCTCTCAAGAAAACAGAAAAACAGAAAAACAAAGTCCTTCAGAACTATACCTTGCGCTTGAGATGAACTTCCTCTTAAGCTTTGAGACCGAGCAACTACTCCTGACGACCGTAATCGTACAGCAGGAGAACTGCATCGTCCACACAAAAATTTTACTTTGCTCACAAGACACATTACACTTGCCTCAATATTCAATTGAGTAAGATCCCATGGTTCAGGTTCTTCAGTTGGTTTGTAGTAATTTGCTGAGGGAGATGAGCACATGGCTCGAGTATCCAAGAACCAGCGCCGACTACTCGGACAGTCTGTACTGTCAGAATTTCCTTCATCCACAATGTCCAAACAGTCTGCACTTCCATCCGCGTACTCGACTCCCAATTTACTCTCCAACTGATCAAATGCTTCATCTGTTTCTCTGGAGAGCAAGTCTTCAGCGCTGTCGCCAATAGTTTTCTCTGCAAATTTTCTATTGGTCTCATTATCTTGGCTAGGAACAGATCCATTCACATCATCCCTCAGGTCATTATCATCTTCAGCATCAGGAAATGCCACAAATTGGTTTTCGGAAACAGTATCTGTGCCATTGTTGTTCTTTAATGAAGAGCGAGAAAGATCCCAAAAATTGCGGGTACAACGAGGAGAGTCAGGTGTTGCTAAGACATCTACATCTGGTGACCTGAATAAGAGAAAATTGAGACAATTTAGAGTAGATATATTTTGCGTATACCTTGGTGGCTCTTGGAATTCATCCGCAAAATTCAAGAGTCAGAAAGATTTTTTCTCTACTTCTATAATTTGGCAAAAGGTAACTGTCAACACTTTCAACGCTTGCTCGGAAAAAAGAAAAAAAAGACTAACTTGAGCTCAAAATGAAGCTGTTGAGTTATACGACGGAATGGTGATAATTGTGCAGGTCTTGTAATGTTGAGATTAATTTGTCCACTTTCAGTAGAACTGTCATGAGCTCCAGTATCTTCAGATGAATCATCTTCTTCAGGTGGTCCTGGAGGAGCAACTTTATATTCATCAACAAATGCTAAAGCTTCCTCAACCAAACCAGAATCCCAAAGGCTTAAAAGAGCACGAGTCTATAACAAAATCATTAAATTGTTAGTTTGGCGTAATTAAGTAAATCTAGGAGTATCACAAAATGTAGACAATAAATGTAAAAAACCTTGGTTATCATATCTTCACATATAGGTAACATCCCAACAGTTTGTTTGAGAGCAGCTAATCTTACTAGACCTCTCATTCCTTCTACAACCTCTCGGCGTAGTTGCTTAATTGCCTGTAGCAGATAAATATTTTATTTGTTTTATTTGTATCTAAGATTTGTCTATGCAACTTTGTACTGATAATGTAAGTAATACCGTAGCAGGGTGATAACTTACCTGGATAGCATCCCTAGCCATGTTCATTTTACTTGTGCCTTGACATGTACCCTTAGAAGGTGACTCTTTTAGCTGTTGAACAAGCCTGAAAAATGTAAAAAAAGATATGAAAAATCCTACTAGGAATGCTTACAAAGATAAAAAAAACAAAAAACAAACAAACAAACAAACAAACAAAAAAACACAAAAAACAACAACATCAATTTGAAGATTTTACTTACTTTAAAAGCCCTCCATTTTTGGATCGATGTGAGTGTGCAGTGAAGGCTCCCACTGTTATTATGTCATACATGCCTGCCTTCCCAAGTGTATCACTCTGAGCCCACATTCGGTGCAAATTTAAGTTAACAGGAGCAAATTCAAGAGATCTATCTTGCTTTCTAGATGAAGGTTTTAAAAAGCTACCTATGGTCATAAAAAGAAGACAGAATTAACATTAAAAAAGGAGAAAGAAAAACAAATAATGAAATACAAGGTATTATTTAACGGTAGCCATCAATACCTTTATGCGCTAAGAGATGTTCCTGAGCTTGACTGTAAAGGTGCAGGAGTTGAAGGTGTCTGTCAAGGAGCTGCAACTGTCTAGAATGCCATGGTTCTCGTAACTCACCCATGCCAGCCACTTCTTGTAATAGTTCTTTTTCCTCCTGAATCCACAGAGCTCTGTAGAAGGATAAGACAAGGTAAGCACATCACAGAACCATTGGAGTCAGCAACATCATACTTACACTTAAACACTTACAGTAATTGGCAGGGAAATGCAAAGCAAAGTTTACTTTCAGACATAAGTTCTGATACAAAAATATCACCACACAAGCCAGAATGGAAACGATAGGTTTGTATGACAGGATTTGCAAATAGCTGATTAATATGAACATGTGGAGGCAATTTCAGTCTACACCCTAATCTGGGTGGGAGTGAATGAGACCTTCGATGCATCATGGCCTGCAAAAAATTGAAAAATAATTTAAGATGTAGTCAAACAAAAATTAGGAGCATATTTAAGTAAAGCAAAATAAGTTGCTGTTTGACTTACTGGGCCTCTGATTTGCGGTTGCCGACATGGAGTGGATTCATTTGAGCCACCAAGGTGATCATCTCTTTCCAGACGGTAACCACTCATACTGACAAAACCAACAGTTGTGCCTGCTAGAGATCGAAGGGCCACTCTCAGTTTTCCACCCTCAGCACCCATTGAGCAATTATTTCCAACCAGAGAACGTAAAGAAATTAATGCACAGCCCAGAGGAAGAGCTGTATGGGAGACTGATTCTCGCACATCATATGCTGTGACCCTAACTCTGGTATCATTATCCAAGGCATCAGAGACTCGGAAGGTTACAGTTATCAGGAAACTTGGATTACTGCTGCGCTGTAAATAGAGTATGTACAAAAATTATGAAGCACGATGATTGATTAGAAATAAATGCATTGCATGAACATTGTAAAAAGAACCCTTACCTCTACAACCTCAGTCCTTGCATACCTGACCCAAGCCCTATCTGATGGAATGTACACATGCACTAATAAAACAGCATTTGGTGGCCGCCCATTAGCATCACATAACAGATTATCACAAGCAAGTGAGACTTCACAGATTGGTAATTCGCAGGGATCTAAACAGAAAAAGTTCATTCAAAATGAAGATGACTTGGACTTTACAAAAGAATTCTTACAAAAACTATTCGACACATACCAAGAATGACTCCACACCGCAATCTCCACATGGCAATGTCAAGATCAGGATTATGGTCTCTACGTGTCTCCAGCATTTTTTGTAATCGGATAAAAGTTGCACGAACATTTCGGTAGCTGGCAGTTTCAACAGCTTTGAGCCATGAAGCACGTTCGCCATCCGAGCGGGCTGCCAGGTGTTGTCGAAGACCTCCTTCCCAAACTAGAAAGGTTGGGTCAGTACACAAATAATGCACTATTTGTGAGAAACATAGCATCCATCTAAGCTCTTACTTACCTAAGCTAAAACCAAATGGGCCATCAGGTGGTGTGGTTGCAGGACTATCAATTTGAACAACACACTGCTCTAGGACTAGGACCCCCAAGGGCTCAGACCACTGATCACAAGTTTTGAAATAGAAAAGGAGATTCCCTCTAAGGCGGCACCAACGTTCAAGGCTGACTGCAAAATAATAATTACAATTCTGTTTTGGTAGGTGTATTGAATAACAAGTTACAGTAAATCCAAAGACTTTTACAGAAAATTCCAATAATAAATACATTTGGCATAACTGCATCATGATACAAGTCAAGTCAGACAATTCTAAAAAAGCAAACTAAAAGGGTAAGCTCAGACAACTAAACAAATTAAATTCCCATTCCATACATTTTACACCAAGTAGGGGAAATTCTAAAGAAAAGCAAAGACAACAACAAGAATATATTTTGAATGAAAGTAAAAGGAGATCAAACACAGTGGCGTGCATTAGGCTAATCTACAAACGTTCAGAATAAATACAAAAACTACAGAATACATCTAAAAAAAAAAAATAAAAAAAAAAAATGGAAGTGTGATGTACCATATTGTGTACAAGTGAGATTTAATCAAGCATTTTCGTACCTCATAATGAATATGCAAGCTCTCTTAAAAATGTATTGTCAGTTCAAAGCAAGTGTTAGAATGAAATGAGGAAAGAATCATAATGTTAGTTGCGCACAAAGTGCACCTTGGTGCTTTACACACTCGTTGAGAAGAAAAGAAAGAGAACATCATTATTTCATGAAAGAAAGTTTCTGAAAAATGAAATGCCACCATATATGTAAAGCACCCCTGATTTAGTGAGTTATCAAAATACCACAATTTTGGTATCAAATGAAACCAGGCACAAGCCCAACAGCAACATAAGGTTTATTAACTTAAGATAATATAGCTCTTTTCATATTATTAACAATAGATATCATAAAAATCACAAAAGTTTTAGAAAATTGTTGAATCAAATCTGGTTTCAAATGAGCAATCTTGTGGGGTTGGTAACAAAAAGTGATGAGTGAGTTTGACTAAATCTGAGGTTGGTGAAGTGTGCTTAAGGGCACAAAAACAGGGGTCCAAGTACCTTTATACTTCACATCTTTGCTGCTCTTGCTCTTGTCCCTGCTGCTGCTACTGCCATAGCAACTAAGATCTCGCAAACTCTTAGCTCTTTTGACTCTTTTGTTGTCTTTTTCAGAACCTGAAAATTTTAAGTTAGAAGCCGCGACACAACACAAGATGAGGCCATCACCATGTTAAAATTATTTGTGAAAGCTAGTAGGATACAGTATTTCCAGCCCACATTAGTGAGAACCCAGAGCCATAAAAGCAAATATATTTCTTTCTTAATTTCTTAAAACGGGTTTGAAGATCCATTTGTAAAACTGAAACTCTGACAATGTTTATTGTTTTGGAAGCTTGACTTTTTGTGAGAAAACAGCATCAACCTGGTAAACCCATCATGTTCCAATGTGACTGCAAAACCTATATCTGCTCTGAAAATTAATTGTAAACCTAGAACTAAAAGTAAGTATAGTATAAAGGATTGAATTTTAAACTATGAAACTGTACAAGCACAATATACTACAATACTGTACAAATCTATATATGCACAATGTATTCACAATATTTAACTATCAAGCTTGGATTTATTTTGTATAGAGGTATTTAAGGCAAGTAGAAGTCAAAGGAAGGAAAACTTGTCAACTGACAAAATAGGATAACTATGCCTATGTTAAACTTACTTGCACAATGCATAAAGAAATAACATTCAGTTCAGAATAATCACATAATCTATCAATCTAATAGGCAAATCAATAATACTTACACAATGCAAAGAGTCAACCAATTAAAATGTAATAAAATTAAAATAAAAACACAAACGTTTCAAAATTTACTCACTCTCTGCCCGCCTGAAAAAGCCATCTTGCCTTTCCCGTAGTAAAAGAACTCCTTCTTTATCAAATTTATGAGCTGGCTGTGTAGCCAGGGTAACAAGTTCCTGCTTGTTGAACCGCATGCCTGGTTTCTTCAGTTAGTTGTGTCACGTTAAACCTTTAACAAAAATGAAACAGTGAAAGGAACATGAAAGTTGAATGATGTATATTTTGTTAATAGCTGAAAAAGTGGCTCAAATTCCTCTGCACTTAAGATTTGTAACACTTTCAATTGAAATTTTCTAAATTTGTGTTTTGAGTAATTTTAATTAGAAGTGAAATGCTGGTCTAAAAGTGAATTAATTTGTGAAATGATAATAAAAAGGAAAAAAGGCTAGCTTTTTCCACTGGCAAAATAATTCTACTTGATATTCATACATACACAGGTTAACCTGCTTAACACTGATTCAGCTATCAGCAACATGTTCAGTAAGAAGTGTAAAAGGAACAGACTGACTGTGTTTCAGTAGAAAATTAAACTGATTTCAAATAGTTAACAGGGCCAAAGATAAAAACATAGCAACCCAAATGATTAGACTAAAGTTATGCCACGACTCGTATAAATACTATAGTAGTTGAATATATGAACCGAATGGCTTCCAAAATTAATCCCTTTTACCTCCGTGAGTGAATATGCACATGCTGTCCACATGAAGGTTAATCTTGCGGAATATGTGGGTCGGGCCTCTAAGTATATAGAGCATAGAGCGGCAAAAGTTCACAAACACAGGTTCACAAATCAACATCAACGGCAACAACAACAACATGCGAGGTGCGCACTGAGTGGGAGTGGGGGAGGAGAGGGGGTGGGGGTGTCAATTTCCGAGCAGACGACAAGAGCGGAAACGGACGAAGGTTGACGAACCATAGCCCGGCAAAATTCAACCCAAACTGCGTTTGCTGATCCTCGTTTTACCAATTGGAAGTGGGCGTCTCTCTTTGAATTTAAACAGGTTTCTTTCTCTCAACTTATTTATGACGTGTGCTTTTACTTCATTGTGACATTTTATTCACTCTGATTATGAGCCTGCTGACAGGCGATGCCTAGGCTCAAGGTCGCTGGCCTGACTTGCCTGGAATGGGCGTTTCGGTTTCGGTACTCTAGTTGCCGAGCTTTTTCAATAATATACGTCGCACGTATCTTTGGTTCGATGCGCTATAACGTATTTTTTCAAGAAAGTTATGAGAAGATGAGAAAAATTTAAAGTTAATGGTCATTTCATTTTAAACCTTGATCAAACACTTACATTACAAAATTGAGTTAAATGCCATATAGTTTACTGGATATTTGGAACCTGTTGACTTGAACACTTAACCATGTTTCCAAAGTTTAACTCGTACATGATAAATTTTAAAATTTGACTCTTGTTTCTTGTGTGTATGTGGGGGGCAAAACAACTACTGGTCATTCCATCAATTTTCCTTCTTTGGACTGTTAGTTGTGGTCAAATGTTCAACTTCTCCTCAGAAAGGTAATCTTCATAAAAATGCCAATGATTAAAAAACACACAAGCACTTCAGGTTTCCTTAAATAGTAACATTCTTTCTCAAATTGATGAATTAAAATATTTCAGATGAACATATGTGATTTAATTTTCAGAGCTAGTCCAAGTGTTACAGTTTTTGCTGTACCATCAAGTCGAACAACTGGAATGGAAACAGTGGTAGTAGTAGCTATAGGAGTGCTTGCTGCTGTGTTTGTGGGTGCTCTGATTGCCCTCGTCATGTTATGTTGGCAAAAGCTGTACAATAATGGCGTTTGTGGGCTTCATTTAGACAAGTGTAATGGCTTTGATACTCGGTAAATTGTAATTCTTTAAATTAAACTATGTGTTGTGATAGAAAAAAATTAATAGCAAAAAACAAACTAGGTCCGATACATAATGATAGTGAATTCAAATTTGTGATTTCAGGCCTGATATTCATTTGATAGAGGCCGACGCAGAACTTGAACTGGGAGATGTCTGTTTGCATCCTGGCATCAAGGAGATTTTAGCTGACAAACAATGGGTTGATGATGCAACTGGTTTGGTTCCCCACACTCTGGCAGTCCTCCGAGCATGTCACAAGCTCACAGAGCGTTTGGCTGCTCTTGCTATGGGCCCACTCACCAATCACAAAATAGGATCCCAAATCATGGATGTATGAACATGCTTGGATAATTACCTAAAAAAATGTACTAACTTGGATTTAAATTTATTCCTTGTACTGGTTCCAGGTTGCAAGACAGATTTCAGTAAGGGTTGATGACGTGGTAAGGTCTATGTATCCACCCCTTGATCCACGCTTGCTGGAGGCACGAACTGCAGCTTTGGCACTTGCTGTCACAAACCTAGCTTTGGTAACAAGACATGGATGTTCTCCTAGTCGGCATCATTTTCAGCGTATGGACTGGATTGACCACGCTTTAGCATCAATGGAGTCCCACTTAAAGGTAACTCAGTTGAATGAGAAATTATTTTACAATATAAATAAAAGTGATGTATGTAATGCATTTATTTTGTTGTGAAGATTTTGAGGGAGGCTGCACTTTCACAAGAAATGAGCTGCCGGATTCAGCAAACTTTGCCCAACTCAAAAGATTTGCAGGCGTGAGTCATGCGTGTTTATCTGATCTATTCTGTTAAGGAAAAAATATGCAGTTTTCTACAACAATGAATTGCGTTATTAAAAATAGAAATGATGGGATAAAATAATTTAAGAGTTTTTCTTATTAAGACATTTTACTGGATAGGCAACCACAGCTCATAAGCCTACAAACTTGACGTTTTCAAAGCACAATATACAGAATGATCTCATACTTTATTTTACTTTTTTCCATTCCCACCTTCTTCTTGTGTCAATCAATACAAACAATGAGATCACAGACAATGCAGATTTTCAAGGGTTTCACTTACACTACAATAACTTTTACGCCTCCAAGAGTTTATACATTAAAGTGAATTTTGTGTGAAGGCCAGCACTTTGATACACAATCCATAGCATTCTATTGTGAGGAAAACCTAGGCTGAATGGATAATAATTTTTTTTAAATGACTACTACATGATAGGCAGCATGAAAATGAAAAGTTTAATGTGACTGGACACATTTTATGAATACTGCTTATAATGAATAAGCTTGCATATCATTATTTCTTTGACTCTCAGGAGGATACCTAGATCATACCTTAAACTTAAATACATTTCAATATCTTAATGAGCGATATGTTGCTTTCTAATTGCTAGGTAATACATTCCAAGAACACTTGAGTGCAATTGGTCCGATGGTTGTGGCACCTCTTACATTCAAATTTATATTGTCAGAAACTGAAAATATAATTTCATGACAGTACATATTTTCCTGTTTACTACAAAAATATTGGTTATCAAAGTGAAATTAAATTCACATCCAATTTTAATTCTAACCATGATAGAGAATCAACCCTTCCAATAATATAATACAGAAAAAAATACAATCTTTAAAAAATTGTCTTTTAGATCAATGAGACATAGCATTAACTTCCTCCATGAATTAATAATCACTACTGGATTATCAAAATATAAAAACATAAACGTGTTACTGACAACTTTGCAATTATCTCATTATTGCAAATTGACTAGAGAGAAGTACTAAAGTACAGAGCAAACTTTAAGTGATCTCACTAAATTATCATAATTTTTTGTGGATTTGATTAAAACTCCGTGTTTTGGATAGTTTCCATGCACTAAGGCGCCCTTGGTTCATAAAACTTACAAAAAAAATATTGCACTGAATTTTTTTTAAAATGGAGATTAAAGTTAGTTGAAAACAGATATGCACTATCTCTGTTGAGAAGTGTAAAGCTTCTCTCCTTATCAATTAGGTACGATACATTACAGTTCAAATGAGCCAGATTATTTCCGGGGGCATCCCATTTGTCCGAAGCATACTTGTTTTCCTTCAATTGCAAACCAGTTGTCCTGATTGCAATCATGTAATTTTTTTCTGATTTCATTTTTTTTTTCCTAAAAATTAAAAGATTTCTTCCCTTAGGAATGTCTGGTTAAAATATGTTCACAGTACAGATTGCTTCTCTTTTCTGTAAACTGCAATAAATTGATACAATTGCTTAAAAAGTAATGGATATGGTAATCAAGTTCATGAAGTGTTCACAACCAAAACCAAGGGGAGTGCTTTGTCAATTCTTAAAGCAGGACTAAAAAATAATTTTAAAATCTTTACAGATAAGCGTACATGAAAGTGTGTCAAATTGCACTTCCCAAATTTTTAAGAGGCAGTGGACAAGTTCATGAGAGAACTCTTTTCTTGTGCAGGCTCTTGTTTGAGCATACAAAATCATCAAAAGCCCTCAAGTTTTTAAAGTGATAAGCAGCTGTGTTAAGACATGAACAAATAATTACGACTTCAACAAGCAACAGCTTCAGATATAGGATTTTCAGTGATATGAATGGACGCATTGGACCAATGGGTAAGGGAAAGCAAATCAGAATCATCCAGTGATGTAGAACGGGTGAAATCAATGAAACGGGCACTGGGGACCGTGGTCATACCTGAAAAACAAAGTCAGTATCTTAAGTTTCCATGATAACTTGCACAATTTTTACTTGAAGAACAATAAAGAAACCATTTTGTGAGTGTACTACAAGAGCAAAGAGAAATAAAAAGTGCGATGTGCTCATGATTGCATTTACATAGATAGCAAATAAACATCAAATGCCAAGCTAATGATTGAAAAATTTAAAAAAACTAAACAAAATAATAGGCCAGTGAAATTGTCAGCTTTAACAAACAGCAAACAATAATGAAAACAGATGCAAGTGAAACGTTGCATCAATTGCACTCGCCAGTGGCAAATAATGATAAGGAACAATGTATTGCAGTAAAAGGTGATACTACATTGAAAAAATCAGATTGAAAATATTGAAAGAAATGGAATACTTTTTCCTTTTGAAGTTTGAACTGAAGTCAATGACTATCCCACCCCACATCCTCATTTAAAAAAAAAAAACGCAGTAAAATAGGCAATTTAAAGCAACATAAAACACTTACATGTGGTTCTAGGCCAAGCGTGTTGAACATGGAACGCCTAAAAGTGCTAAGATTAGCACTAGTTACCTTTACCTTCAGCTGACAGAGAGGTTGAAAGCTTGCGAGACAGTTTCACAGCTGCAGTAAAAAGAAAAATACAGCACAGATGAGCGACATGGATAGTTAATCAACAAAAACAAAGTCTAGTCCTGTGACAAAGAGTATAACTACGCTGATCCACATAAATATTGTTAAATGTCAAATGGTTTTTAGCAAGCCTCCTATATGATAACAATGAGACTAGCATTAACACCAAAGGAATGAAACCACACACTCACAGTAACACAAATGTAGAACTTAACAACATTGCAAAGGGAAGAAAGAATAAGAGCATCAACAGAAACAATTGTAGGTGCCATGTGCAAAACTTTAAATTTTAGAAACAATGCCCTATCATTATTTTACCGATGCCAACTTAAAAGTATTTTAAGAGGTAGCATGGGGGAATAGATTAGCCGGTAAATGCCAGAAAGTAGTAGGCGCTCATTAGGTAACACGGTTAACTTTTATTACTTAAAAAGTCATCATCTTCAGTACAAAAAAAAAAAAAATTCTATTTTATTCTCAAGAGGCAAAATTAAGATATCAGAACAGTTCTGTGCTCTGGAAAGTGATACAAATTGGTAGAAAAATAACATGCAAAAGAAGCTGTTGAATTCAAGACTCAGAACCAAAGGTTATTATTCAAGCTTGAAAGATCGTACTAAAATTATGCAAAACAGACATTGCTGAAAACAAATTCTCTAGAAAAACACATGCAACCAGAAAATTTGAAGAAGAAAAGAGCAAAGCTGCACATACTTTCCAACTGAGATTAAACATTAAATAATCTATACCCCAACATTCATATTATCTCCAGGACCAAGATTGCTCATGCATAAAGTGCTGTCCCAATTTGAAATACAGCATAAGGATGTAATAAATTTGTAATATTTTTGTCATATGACAGGGTGATCAGTTAATGAGAAAAGACAAAATTCATAAGTCCTTTACCAAAACACAGTGTGCAGCTAAACAGACTGGATATATAATAGTTAGGCTTGTAGTCAGAAGAGTTTGAGTTTGTTTTTAAAAGACCTACAACAAACTGGGTTTTAGAAAAGAACTCATAAGTGGGACTTTAGTAAGCTTTGCATGTACTATGGAAGGAGAAGCTCTACATACATACCGATGATTTTTCTCCATTGTGACACAGTGTAACACAAACAAGAACATAGAGCAAATGAATCAGATCAAAGCAATGTGCTGTTCCATGCGAATGGAACCAAACCTGACAATTTATGGAATGGTATGAGCTGTGTGGTGTCTGATCGTTAAATTTGAATGATGTGCAATTTCAAGTTGTTGTATGTGAGTAGTTTAATGATTCTCCTCTTAGAAAACGCAAGTTTATAAGAATTAAAAAAAAATATGAAAAATAATTTAAAAAATAAAATGATGATACCACAAAATGTTATGATGGTAATAAAAATGGAGATGATCAGAAAGATGAACGAAAACTGATAGACCTGGGGATTTTATTCTTGCAAAATTATGAAAGCGTATAGGTTGAAGACAGAGGAAATAAACACATAGATAACTTCAGTCAATTCACAAATATTTATCTCCACTATATAACAATGTCATCATTGCTACAGAACAAACATCTCTGACAACAAATGAGTCAAGGGAACAGTGGAAATCTGTTGAGCAATGAATAACAAGCAAAATTAACCTGATGTGACCAGACCATGCATGCCGCTAATAAAGCCTAGTGATTGTGATCATCCTATTACGCCATTTAATTATCTAGGCTTCACTCTTGCAAGTTTTTAAAGCAAAACTTAGAGAATAAGGATTTGACTAGTGTACTACTAGTGTAGCACATGTGCAAGTTTTGCCTACATTTGAAGCCTAGAGAAAAATGAAGTATTATGTCTGTTGCAGAGAACTTTGTTCCAGTGGACAAGCTTGAGCTTATAAGCTGTAGAAATTCTAGTTGAGACCTCAAACAGTCATTGTCCACAAAATATGTTTAGTATTAATTCTTAAAGATCTACGGTACTTTAAAGTTCAGAGGATGAACATTCTGAGGAAAAAACTGAGCTATTAAAACACTGTGGTGTGCTGTACAAACATGAAAAAAATCAGGCCCAAACTGAATAATAAAATGAATGTAGCTATGAATGATTGATGGAAAATGCATAAATAGGTCTGGAAAAGTAGGTACGACTCCAGATTCACAAGATAGAGTAACATATGACTAGAATTCTATATGAGTTAAATGACAGAAGTAACTTGATCAATCAATGGTTTATAGATCTAGCAACTTGATCACCAACTTAATTTAAAATTTGGCATTTATAACATTTAAGTATTTGATAATGAACAAGATACTTTTCAATGCTTTTGACTACGGTCCATAACATGACAGAGCATTTAATCACAAGTTGCATAGTATATAATATTCTAATAAAAGTCCCTTACAATCCTAGATACACAATTGTGGCTAGGCTAACAAATTGGATGGTGGAAATGTTAACAATTTTTAAGAATTGTGTAAATAAAGCTGTAACTTACAAAGAAGTTCCCCCCATTCATATTTCCGCAACTGCCCCAAAAAGCTCAATATTTTTCCGAGAGAAAAGGGGGGAGGGGAGGGGGAAGTAGCCTAATAATCTAATTGTAACCTTAATGTATTAAAAATCAAAGACTATCAGAGCAAAAAAAAGAGAAGAAGAAAACTCTCTGCAAAGCAGCTCAGTATAAGTTGAAATTCCCATTGACCTAAATCTCGAGAAAGTAAAAATAATACTGTAAATTAATACATTATTATCTCAAGAATACGTATGCACTAGATGATCTTCAAAAAAGAAACGTAAACACCACAATCCTTAACATGGGGTGTGATTTGAAATGGTTCAATCTGTCAATGCATTTTAATTTAACTGATGAAGTACTTAAAAACCATGGTCTAAATGGACAAAAGAAACAACAACCTGGCTGATGTATTCGATTACAGGTTAACTAAGTTTAAATGAACACTTCAAATGATCACTAAGCTGACGAAGATGAAGAAGTGAGCAACAGACACAAGGGATGTGAAGGGAGTCACAGAGCCCAGAGGAGCCCAGGTATTTTACAAGTAAAGAAACCCCAATATAGTCACTGTGAGAAAACTGCGTAACATGAAAATCAATTACTTCCAAACTGATAGCAACAAATTGAGAGAAGATTGAACATTTTCAATAGAGTAATCTTTCATTCTCCTTGGTCCCTCATACAGCGCCTCAAAATCAACCCCCACTCTCAAAAACAGCTTGTAGTCCAGAAGTAAAATTTGGTGACCAATAAAATGTCAAATGAGAATGGGTTGAGTACTAATATTGTACTTCTATGAATACTGATTCAGAGAAACTGAAGTGGAATTAGTCTATTGAGAGAAAGTCTATTTCCAATTAAATGAAGTTTACACCTTGAAAGAGGTCAGACTAGGAAGAGAGAGCAAGAAGAGACTGTGTTCACAAAAATGCATGTATTGTAATCGGCAGATGAGAATACATGAAGCACGATGAGAGCAAACAGTGGAGCACAACTGCAGAACAGTGTAAGCATGTTTGAGCAAATGACTTGAATTTCATAGCTGTTAAGACAAAAATAGATGATTTACTTAAATGTAGAACGTGGAACAGAGATGAAGCATTGATATATCCTGAGATGCAACAAATAACACTTTTCATACCACCAAATTAATTCCAAAAGGCACTGCATTGAACCAATTTTGTTACCTCAGTCAAATCTGACACCATGACACCAAGAGTCCCTTAAAAATGGTAACATTTTTTTTTTTTGCCTCACTACACAATATATATTTGTACTATACTCACACCAATCTCTTAAGATACGAACCCCATGCAAGACAAAACACAAAGGGAAGAGGCTCATGCGCAAAATTTCAAGAAGGAGTCAAAGCAGATAAGCTCTTGATATCACTTGTAGAAAGCACAGACATTTCCAAATTTTACCTGTACCACTTATCAAAATGTTTTTTTCAGAATCGAATGGGTCTTAAAATTTGTAGGAAGAACATGAGCACCTGATATTCTTATGAGATCCAAGTACCATTCATGACAAAAAAGTTCATCAAATATTTAATTTTAAACAATTTCTGCTTCAAGCCATTCAATAAATGATTCACACATCATAATACATAAGATAATCTACATTAAACATTTGACTAACTCATAGTACGAGCACTGGATGCCCCCTGCATTGGTGTACTGACTGGACTGCATGACTTACCATAACCCTGACCCTGCAGGAAGAGCCGGAATGCCTCAGCCACTTTACCAGGCTGTTCTTCCAAAACCATACCACAGTCTGAAATCTGGAAAGAAAAGAAAAACTAATTAAGTACACACTACCACAGTGACCTTAAGTACTTTGAATAATTTATCACATGGTCACACCTTCATCCATGAAGAGTTGGTAGGGTCAAGTCTACCATTCAAGGTGACTGTATCATCTACATGAGGGCTCAGAGAACCAGTTATGTTCATAACAGGCATCAGAAGAGTAGTACTGTCTTTGCGACGATTGGGTTCCAATTCACGGACAAGCTTCAGATCAGTGCGTCTCACATAGGCATCAATAAACAATGCCAAATTAGAGGGATTTACTTGTCTTTCAAAGTAATTCCGATAAACTTGTACCAAATCATGGTTCCTCTCTTCCGTCCCCTAAAACAAGAGGAAGTTAAGTTAGTAGAAGGAAAGGGAAAAGTTAAAGCAAAGTATAAGATGGAACATAAATAATTAAGCATACCCTTCCAAAATGGTGCCACATAAGGTAATCCAAAACACCTTGTGTCATTCCTTTTGAGCGTAGGTACCTTGCATTCATCTTTTGATAACCCCACTCAATCCAACCAGCTTGTGTAGACACTACGTTAATAAGACACAGTGCTTCAACTTTCTCGGGGTTAGCAAGAGCAAATCGAGCAAGGATGTTTCCTCCAGCGCCCACTCCAAGCCCAATGACGTGATGGAGGCCGAAATGGCTTAGAACAAACATGAGCTGTTCTGCAAGCTCATCCATAGTTGGATATTCATAACTGAAAAATTTACGTCAATGATAAAATAAAACCAAGCACTAGTGCAACACATCTCAACCCATTTTCTGGAGCAGCAACAGCAGCACAAGGCGTGGGATGGTACTCACTCGTCGGGAAGCGGTAAGGCGCCCTCCTCTTGCCCGGGGGCATTCACGTGGTACACGCAAAAGTTATCGAGTAGCGCACGCATGTCGATATAATTAAAGAAGGCCTGGAAGCTGGAGATGTAATTGAGGCCAAGGTCATGGTACGTCAGGATCGCTGGTTTGGTGCGGTCGCCTTGGACAGCCACTAGGATGGACCCCCTGGCCGTCTCCACGCGCTCCTCCGACACCGACGAATCGTCCCGCGACATGGAACGGACAGTGGGGATCTGCAGGTCGATTTTCTTGAGCTCGATGTCATCCATGGAGTCGGACGGCATCTTGCTGCAAACAGAGAAGGTCCCCAGTCACACGACGGCAGAGGGCAGGGTCGTGCTGTACTTAACGGTCAAGGAGTGCACCCCCCACGCCCGCCCACGCGGAGGGGCGACGGACATCCTCCTGCACCTTGACGTGTGACAGACGTGTCAGATAATCCAGGAGACATATCCCTCGTACCTCTGACTTCGAACACGTAAAGTGCGGAAAGTCTTCCACCCCCTTCTAACGCGCGAGACATGATCACACTGTGGTCACGGCCGCAATCGAAGTGTGCTTTCCAAATTCGTCGGTAGTTGTTTCCGTGCCATGGTGATAAAGAAGATCATCGGTAAAGGTTGTAGGCGGACCTCGGCCCGCCTGTTAACCGTGCGTGAGTCAGGATGCACGACATGCTTTTCGGCACCCTGCATGCCGTGCTAATGTCATATCGTGTCGGTGCCCAAGGTCAAGGTGAGAGAGGGACGGGTCGACTGGGTCGGGTCCTGCCCCCCCCTCACAACGGACTAGGTAAAGGGAAGGGCGAGACCACTGCCGGTGACCCAGATGCGAAACTGTCGTATTGATCGAGTCCCGGCCCGGCGGGGGCGGGGGGCCCGGCGGGGGGTCAGGCGGGTGGTTGGGAGTAGGGGGCGCTAGGCGCACGGGTAGCTCGCGCGCTCGCGGCCCGCGCCGCCTCCCAGTCACGGGTCCAGGCAGGGCCCGGGCTCGTACCCGCCTCGGCCAGCGAGCAAAGGGGGCACATCAGATTGGGCCCCACCGAAGAAGACCGACCACTTTATCCCTGGGGGGCTGCGGCCACCGTCCTGTGGGGGAAGTCGTTAGGGTAAAAAGAAAAGAGGTGTTCCAGCTCAGATAGACAAGCGTTTAGGCAAGGTTTGACGTCATTGGTCCGGCCCGTCCCGTCCCGGGTTTACTGATGCTACTGCAATGCTGGGACCGGGGGAAAATTGAGAGAAAATGGGGAAGAAGGGATGGGGGTAGAGAGACGCGGGGAAGGGGGGAGGGAGGCAGGGGATCACCCTGTTGCTGGAGCCTCCATCCTCTGGCCGTGATGGGCGTGGTCGCCCCGGGTCGCCCCCTCCCCATTTCCCACTGGATCCCCTGCCCTCTCCCATCGGCGTGTACCGGGGTGAGAAAGACGACCCACATCCCGACGCAAGAATGTGCCTCCCTACCATTTGATCGTACGTGTAGAAAATTCACACACGTGGTGAGTGTGACAGCCCGAGCCATGTGCCACACACGTATGTGCCCCACCAATAGACATTGTGTCTGATGAGTACATACTTCCCAGAGTGTGGTTGCGCAACATTCTTTCGTCCGTGTTCCCCTCGAGTCCCCAAAAAGAGAAACGACGAAACTATGAAACATGCAGTCATGCCGGCATTGGACTTTGGTCGATCACAATTAGAGAGGGTGGATTGGTTTCCCCAGACGACCTATAGTGTCCAAATGAAATTTTTACGAGGCGGCCCGCCCGAGGGTGGGGTGGGGGCGAGCGAAGGGGGCACGCCTCGTATCTGGGCTGACGGCGAGTCTCGCGGCGGGCCGGGCCGGGGATCAGGGGTGTGGGGATGGGGATCAGGGGTTGAAGGTCTTCGTGGTGTGTGGTGTGGGGCGGAACTGCCTTGTGTGTCGGACTGACGCCGACGGGTGGACTCTTGTAT